TTATCTCGATCCGTCCTTCCATCCACCATTTCCTTCCTTCCTTCCATTTCCATTCCTTCCTCCGGCTCTTTCCATTCCTTCCTTCCCTCTTTCTTCCATTCCTTCCTTCCTTCCTTCCTTCCTCTTCCGGCCTTTTCATTCCTTCTTCCTTCCATTCCTTCCTTCCTTTTCTTCCATTTCCATTCCTTTTCTTTTCCTTCCTTCCGTCAAGCGTCTTTTTGCATTTTCCGCCGCTTGCATCGCTTTTCGCTTTGCGCGTCCATGCGTCCAGCTTTGCTTGAATCTTTTTCGCGCGTCCGCCGCTTTGCGCGTCACGGCATCCAGCTGCGCCAGATCAACAGCATCTTTTTTTCCTTCTTTTTTCGCCCGTCTTTTTCGTGTTTTTGCCTGACGGGGGCGTAGGGAGGGATAGAGGGCAGGAACGCACGAAGAAAGAAAGCTGGGAGGATGGAGGCAGAGCAGGGAGGATGGAAGTGGAGCAGGGGAATATTGAGGGAGTATGGGCAGGCTTAGCAGGAGAATGAGGAAGGAGCTGAAGGGGGATGGGAAATGGGGAGTTGGTGGAGGTAAGTGAAGTAAGGTTGAAGAATGGAGGGAGGAGAGGGGAAAGAAGGAAGATGGAGGAAGGAGGAGGGAGGATAGAGAGAGGGGAAGGAGGGAGGATGGAGGGAAGCAGGGGAGGGGATAGAGTAGGGATTATAGAGGAGGGAGGATGATAGGGGAAGGAGGGAGGATGGGGGGAAGGAGGGAGCATGGAGGGAGTAGGAGGATGGAGGAAGTAGGAGGATGGAGGATGATGGAGGAGGGAGGATGGAAGGGAAGGAGGGAGGATAGAGAGAGGAGGTGGGGGTAGGAGTATCTTGGATGGAGAAATGGGGAGGAAGATGAATGAGAGGGAGAGTAGGGAGGACTGGCGGAAGCAGGGAAGATGGACAGGAAGTGGGGGGATAGGGAGAAACAGGAAGATGGAAAAAAAGAGAAGGGAAGATGAGGATTAGGCAGGATGGTGGGGAAATAGGGAGGATGAGAGGAGGTGAGGAGAATGGAAGAGGAGAAGGGGGTGGTGCCGGGGAAAGAGAAAGGATGGAGGGGAAAGCAGGAAGAATGCAGAGGAATGGTAGGGTAGTGGGTAGGATGGGGGTTGAGGTAGGATGGACGGAGAGGCGGTAAGGTGCATGGAGGTGAAGTAGGGTCATGGGAGGGCACGAAGGGACGATGGAGGGTGAAGCACAGGGATTAAGGTTAGTAGGTTGAAGGGATTTCGGAAATGGAGGGGGATAGGGACAAGGGATTGGGAGTTGGAAGGATGGAGGGCTAGATGGGAATGTGAAGGGGACTTGGGAAAGTGGAGGGGAAGCAGGAAGGATCGAAAGGGGAAATAAGCTGTGAAATGGGATAAATTAGGAAGGAAGGACATTAGGTGATGGGACAAGGGAAATGACAGGATGGGAAACGGGTGAAACAGTATTAGAAGACGTCGGACAGCTTTAGGGACAGGTTGGGAATTTTGGACAAAACAGAAGGGAGTGACGTCATGTGGTGCCATGTCGGTATGGATAGGCTTGGAAATAGGGCACAAAGGAGAGCAGTAGGTTCAACATTCAATTTTACAGCTTCTACAAGTCCATCTTACATATGTACCTTGCTCCTCGAAATGGCTAGGATTTTGCTTTCAGCAGAGTGAAACACGACTCCATCCTCAGCTCACTGTTTGATTTTATGTAGAAGAATACATTCTATATCCCTGTATTTGGTAAATGTGTTTGGGAATGACACTATTTCTGTCACGGGATGTCACAAAGTTGTCACGAAATAGACTTATTCAGACCATGCATGTCAAAAGAGAGCAACTGAATTTCTCTCTGATGTTTTTGCATTTTAACATGTCACATTTTTATATTTGTATTTGTATTAAACATGTCGTGTTCCCTTAATACCTATAAAAAAACTCTGGCAAATAAAAGAACAGAAATTAAACTTTGACACTGCAATAAGTACATCATTGTCAGGGCAATGTGTTTCTATAACGTCAATAAAATGATACAATGAATTGCAATGCATGTTTGATCAGTGCTCATCACTGTCACTAACCTCATGTGTCCAGATGAGATAATTCTACCACACACCTATGTTTGTCTTAAGAACATGTTGGTAACATGTGGAGTACTTTATGTAGGACCTCTGTGAATGGTGTCTCATTGTAGACCATCGATCGTTTCTTTAATTCATGGGCTCGAAGGAAGACAATATAAAGCAATGCATCAAATCATGCCATCTAAAAGCATGTTTAATCAGTGCTCTTCTAACTGACCCACCTTATATGTCCAGGTGAGAAAGGTTCACCAGTCAACTATGTTTGTCAGAATGTTGGAGGTAATGGTGGCTGAGTAGAAAAAGAGCTCTATGGGGGACTAGCCTTGATATGTAGATTAAAGTTTTAGCAAATTATTGGCAGTGTGTTCATCAGAGTGACCAACCTTTCGCATCCAGATCAGGAAACGTTATCCAGACACCAGTTCTTGTCTTAGAATGCATTGGTTACATAATCTGCTAGGTATGACTATTACTTTATGGAGGATAAGCTGTTATCTGCGAAGTTGTGTATCGTCATGGTTTGTCTGGTCTAGGTGTGATTACTTTACATGCCACAATGCTGACAAATCGCCTATTACCTTAATCACTCACCCATTGGTTTGAAAACCAAAATATGTTGCATGTTTGTGTTGATACTCTCAAAGAACACCCATGGCTACACAGACACTCTTAGGTTATACATGTCTCTTGGTTTGGAATGGGATACAGGTACTCTCAAGTCTGTGTTGCTAAATACCTGAGGCAATAAAAGTACTATAATGCTATGGAAATGTGATACAGGTACTCACATGGTACCAAATATGCTCAAATAGTAACACAGAGAGCAGTACTTGAGGATAAGTCCTGTACCAGAGGACTATATATTGCCTTGAACTCACTCTTGGATACAGTAATAAATGCTCATATAGTTTAATTTAATGGGTAATCAAATTATTGCAAGTGTTCATCAGAGTGACCCACCTTTAGTATGATCTCAGTGCACTCAAGAAACCTTGATGCTATGCAAGAATTACAACACCATGTCTGTATGTTGGTTTGAAGAATATCAGTACTCACTCTTACCTTACCAAATATGTTCAATGTTTGTGTTGCTACACACAGAGGAGTACCTGAGGCTAAGTCCTGCACCAGAGGACCTACTGAATGTACATTACATCTGTTGTCTGCTTACACTATACTGTGTTAGTATTGCCAGTATCATGTAAATATGTTACTCACTCTCGGATACCGTAACAAATGCAGCTGTTCATATGCACTTATAGTTGAATTGCTCACGTCAAGCAAATCAAAGGGAACCATGGTAAATATTCTTTGAAGATATGTAATGATACGGTGACAATATAGAGCCATGTTAACAAATGCAACAAGCGCATATACTGAATAACATTGCCATGGCAATGCTGCTTACTTCCCACAATTGCCAGTTGAGTATCTAATGTTTGGAAACACTAGCACCACTGCACTAAAATAGTTCCTCTGCTAACAACAGAATTCAACTTCAGTTGTTAAAATAAAACATAACTACTATTTAAAGTGAAATGAGATATTTTATTAACAACGAATGTAGTCATAACGTAGAAATAGAAACATGTATTTCAGTTACATCATAACAAACAACCCCAAACCTCCAATCACTATTCACTCTTCAACCATTTGTGCTGCTGATGATGAATAAACATGAAGATAGCCACTATACACAAGTCTATACCTACCTGTCCCCTCCACCTTACAGTATTTAGAAGAAATCCCTGGTGCCAGATGACAGACTGGAGCTGTACTCAGCCAAGAGAGCTTCCAGGTCCTCCAGGGAGTCCTGGGGTGGCTCCAGAGCGTCCTGGGGCTCCTCCAGTCTTGTCTGTTTTGCAGCTTGAAGCACCACACTGTTGTCATCTGGGCACTTTCTCTTGCGTGAGGGTGGGGACTCTTTGCTGGGCTCAGCAGTGGGTTTCCTCTTTTTCCTTAAAATAACTTTAGTAAGGTAAAGATATTCCACATCATATTCATCATCAGAGCTAGGCTCAGCTTTGTCCATTGCCTTGGCAGGATTTACATTTACTGTTTGAACATTGGTATCCGCTGATTTAGAATGTTCTGATGCTGAAACAACCTTATCCTTTACATTCTTATCAGGGACAGGCAATGTCTTTGGTAAAACAGACTTTGGCTTTAAGTAAGCTTGATCAGCAGACAGTAACTCTTCAGCAAAACTAAGCTTACATGAGGACTTAATGATACCATTACCACCTGAGGGCTTAGTGATACGGTTCCCCAAAGGTCTGCTCTGGGTTTTGATGTGCTTAGCTCCAAGAGGCTGAGGCACAAAGTAGGGCTTGCTCTCAGGCTGATGCTTGCTCACTTTCTCTTTAGGAATGCGAGGCTTTGGTTGAGGTTTTGGCCTGAACGTTTTGGGCTTGCGTTTGCAGGGTTTGAGCTCAGGTTTTGCTTTGGTTGGACTTTGGGTTTGGGGTTGTTTGTTGTAGGCATAGCTGGCTTGTCAACATGGGCTAGAGACTGGGGAGGAGGAACTGGACTGGGTAGGTCAAGTTGGGGCAGAACACAGGAGAAGGCCTATTGGGCAATACAGTCTTTGTATCACTTTTTTGATAATGGAAGAATATCTGGTAAGACTACAGTAACGGATACCTTAACAAATGTCTTATTGTGTTATGTTTCAAAATCATCAACACGTACAGATCATACAAAAGCATACCTCTGGTCTCATCAGCTGCAGGTCTTGTGCTGAACTGGGCTGGCAGACAGGCATTGTCTCCTTATGCCTACTGCAAGGTGGTGGCTGAACTGTAGGAGGCTGGAGCCTGGAGGGTACCAGTCCTGGCTGTTGGTAACCAGCACCCAGGGATAGGCCAACAGGATTACCGGCTGGCATCCAGATAGTGTTGTTATCTATCAGACATCTTGTCCCATCTCCCATCACTACTGTCGGAAGCTCGGGGGGCAGGCGGATCACAGACACTGTGACAGTGAATAGTTTACTAAACTGCCTACATAATAATTCGCCATTTTGACAACAGACGACTAAAACTTGAGTTTGGTCTAGTGAAAACAACTCAAATATGTCAGTCATATTGTTATGTATACCGCTACATCTACAAAGTATCTTAAATGTTCTCGTTGCTGAGGCAATCTCCTGTTATATCAACTGTTCAACTCAGTAATATGAGGACTACATTCAGACATTGATTGTTGATGGCTGGACACACCATCATCTATTGATTTTTTCTTTGTAAACACTATAAAACAATCACAGGCGGCCCTGAAAGAACATTTCTGTGTACCTGGTGCAGAAGGATTCATTGTTCTCTCCACCGCTTCAAGATCAACACACTTTTAGAGTCGTATTTTGCACGATAAAACTGCGAAAACGTCTCTCTTTCAAAATGGCTGACACAGGAATGTCAGCCTGTTGTCATGACGCCGCTACAGGTGACAGGACCACGCATGCGTCGAATTTATACATAAGTTACACTTCCGTCTATGTGTCATGTAGTTTTGATAGATCTACATCAACGCCTAGTACGTCAGCTGTTCTGACTTACCATGGAGAAGACACGTTCTTAAAAGTGAACGTCGTTCCAAGGGAAGCTACTCTAGTAGACTTTGCCATGTAAATAGAGTTGTCCTTCATGAATGAGGATTTTATGGGCGCTTGCAAGAATAACGAAAGGTATGGTTTAAAAAGTTAAGTTTACTGGGATGGTGTTTAATGTCAGGTAGAGTGCACTACCACTAAGCAGTCATGATATGATAATAAAATATATTTGCAAATGTTTACATTGTACATGTTGACAGTGCAGGAGTGGTCAGTGCAGGAGTAAGTTAGTAGTAATTTAGTTGCGTTTACATGACACCTTTTTGCCCTCGGGGGTATTTTACACCCGGGGTTAATTTACCCCCAGGGGCAATTGGCAAAAGAATTTGCGTTTACGTGGGTTTTAAGACAGGGGTGGGTATTCATCATTTTCATTTCAATCTGACCATGGACAGGTACAGGCGGCAGTGAAAGTGTGAGAAAAGGAGAAGAAACAGATTTTTGGCAAGTTGTGGTTTTATGTGTGACATCCATATTACACAGAGAGCGAAGTGTGTGGGAAGGTCCTGTGCGTGGAGCTCAGGTCACGAATCAGTTGAAGTTAAGCAACGTCGACCTCGGACAGTCTTTGGATGGGTGACCGTGTTTGGCAGCTTGACTCCAGAGACTTTCTAGCACTTCTGTCCTGCCCCACAACGAAGCAGATGTGATATATGTGTGGTCTCACCTTAGGCAAGTGAGTTTATTCAAAATTGCCTCTGTTCACTCAGCAGAAAATCGGTACCCGGTTGGATAAAGTCATGTGCCTATAACCTCCTAGTGCCTAACAGGCAGCTTGGGTCATCCGGGGTAATACTAATCAGATTCTGATTACAGCGTCCAGTGAGCGACTAGTCAGATGGATACTGGACGCTATATAAAGGAATTATTATTATTATTAAAGAAGTCGACACTGGTGGGAAGTGACAGTACAGACATTTGATGATGCTCGATGGAGAGAGAACTTCCGGATGTCAAAAGCAATGTTCAATCTTCTCTGTCAAAAACTTCGACAACATCTTGAATCCAGAATTAGCCAGGCTCTTTGTCTTGAACACAGAGTGGCAGTTGCAGTATATTTTCTCGCTATACAACAGGAGAATATGACACCATCGCCAATCTTTTTGGAATACACAAGTCCACTGTCTGCTGCATTGTGCATGAGGTGTGTAATGCCATTTACACATACATACTCCCTGCTGCTGTCAAGTTCCCTGAAGGCGAAGAACTTAAACGAGTGATCTCAAGATTCCAAAAGAAATGGAATTTTCCAAATTGTGGAGGTGCTATAGATGCAACGCACATTCCAGCTGTGGCCCTGCATTAATTCCACTCAGATTATGAGAATAGAAAAGGGTTCTATTAATTATCATGCAAGCTGTTTGTGATGATAAGTACAGATTCACTGATGTCTGCATAGGCTGGCCAGGTCGAGTTCACGACGCACGGGTGTTCTCAAACTCTAAGCTGAGGGCTTTAGCAGATGGCGGTAAGATATTACCACTGACCGCAGACAGCGTAGGCCCTGCTGATCATAAAGTGGATATGCACGTTGTCATCATCGCAGACCCTGCGTACCCTATGTGTCCTTGGCTACTGAAACCATATAGATACAGAGGGGCTCAGACAGAGGAACAATCCTTCTTCAACTACAGACTGAGCAGTTAACGCATGACTATTGAAAACACATTTGGCCGCTTCAAGGGGCGATGGAGACGTTTCTCTAAGCACATTGATGTGGATGTGGAGGTTGTGCCAGTACTTACTGCAGCTTCAGTTGCTTTGCACAACATGTGTGAGAATGAGCACGAGTTGTTCGACCCGGACTGGCTGCAGAACGTAGATGTTGAAGCAGGAGAGAGTGGACAACAAGTTCATCCAGATGGATCAGCTCTTCGAGAAGCACTGACTGCACAGTTGGCCAATGCAGGTCAGTGAAGCTTTTCTGATGAACATTTGAGACAGTGATTACTCTATCCTTGTTTATTCAATTAATGTCATCAAAACATTACTTTATTTGAAGCTTTCAAGTGAGCAAAACATGATTTGAGAACACGAGTTTAGTGAACCTGTCCTTTAAGTACACTCTATAAAGATGCTTGAAAGTGGCTTTTTCTTTTTTCTCCCTTCTGCTTTGTGTTTTTAGTTTCGATTATTGCCTCTTCTTTGTTTGTGGTTCAGCATATGATTTAACATCCTTGTTTTCGGTTCCTGAGACATCTGTGTCCAAATCCTCACTCTCAAGCAGAGGCATGACATCCTTCATCTCCTCAGTAGCAGGATCACCACCACCATCAGCAGCAGCATGAGCGTTTTCTGCATCTGATACTGGTGCCTCCTTCTCAAGACTCTGGATCACCTTTCCAGGGGAGGTGGCTGGCCTTATAGCCAGTATTTCATTCATTTCCTTCTAGAATTTACACGCTCTGCGTGATTGTCCACGTTCCTTGAATGCATACGATTTTTTAGAGTTTTCATCCTCTCCTTACACTGACATCTGGTTCTCTCATAACCCATGTCATGTAAAGCATTGCTGATTTTTCAGCATACAGCATTGTCCCTTTTCGAGGCACTCTCGAGTTGGAATTTGGTCAGGTGAGAGTGGGGACACAGGATGAGAAGGGGAAAGGAAGTATAACGTGAGGACAGACGTAGGGGCAGGTGAGAAAGGGGAGACAGGTTGAGAAGGGGAAAGGAAGTGTAACGTGAGGACAGACGTAGGGGCAGGTGAGAATGGGGACACAGGTTGAGAAGGGGAAAGGAAG